AGCTGGGGGGATGGTGATGCCATTTAATGATAGGAAGGAAACTGGGGTGGAGGTAGGTCTTATTGTATTTTTTTTTTTAAGATTTTATTTTTTTCCTTTTTCTTCCCAAAGCCCCCCAGTACATAGTTGTATATTCTTCGTTGTGGGTCCTTCTAGTTGTGGCATGTGGGATGCTGCCTCAGTGTGGTTTGATGAGCAGTGCCATGTCCGCGCCCAGGATTCGAACCAACGAAACACTGGGCCGCCTGCAGCGGAGCGCGCGAACTTAACCACTCGGCCACGGGGCCAGCCCCAGGTCTTATTGTATTTGAGATGCTTATTAGACATTTATGTGGAAATACCATGTGGATAGACAAGGTCAGAGTTCAGATGGATGTAGAATTGGTTGTCATTGGCAGACAGATGGTATGAAAGCCATGTGACTGGAGGAGATCACCAAGGAAAATGTGTACATAAAGAAGAGAAAGGCGTTTGGAAACAAAGTCTGAGGCAGTGAACATTTAGAGCTTGAATAAGGAAGAGGAATCAGCAAAGGTGACTGAGGGGTAGCCAGCGAGTTGGGAGAAAAACCAGCAGAGTTCGATGTCAGGAAAGTGAAGGAATTAAGTGTTTCAAGAAGGAGGGAGGGTCAACGTCATGGAATTCTTCAGAGAAGTTGAGTAGAGTATGAAGAGGAAAGTGATTTTTGGATTTGGCAACCTGGAGGTGATTGGTACTTTTTTCTTTTTGAGGAAGATTAGCCCTGAGCTAACATCTGCTGCCAATCCTCTCTCTCTCTCTCTCTCTCTCTCTCTCTCTTTTTTTTTTTTGCTAAGGAAGACTGGCCCTGAGCTAACATCCATGCACATCTTCCTCTACTTTATATGGGGGATGCCTACCACAGCATGGCTTGCCAAGCAGTGCCATGTCCGCACCCGGGATCCGAATCAGCGAATCCTGGGCCACTGAAGGGGAATGTGCACACTTAACTGCTGTGCCGCCAGGCCGGCTCCTGATTGGTACTTTTCGAGAACAGTTTTAGTGGAACAACGTGGGCAGAAACCTGGCAGGAGCGATTCAGGAGACAATAGAAGACAAACGTATGAGGAATGTAAGAAGAGTGGGTTTTCCTCTCTCAAGGAATCCCCACATTGAAGCACTCAAATGTTTACGAGACATTGTGTGGATCACTTTTATTTCATGTGATGCCCTGAAGCTCTCAGCATACACCGTAAAGACTAAATTTTTCATAACAATGGAATAAGAACTAAAATAGGATTTTATGAGAGAGTGGAATTTTCCACTGCATTTGTCCACACACTTTCAAACACAAATGTAATAAATCTATTAGACACCATTCCTGTCACTACCTCAGTTCTTATTTTAGTTCAAGCGAAGCCATATCCTTTCTGTTTCCTGCTGTTTGTCATCGTGATCATTGGCCTCTTTCTAGAGCCCGTGAGATTTACACTTTAGCTCTTGGCCGGGAAATAACAAAGCCTTTTTCTCCCCACGTTTCCAGGCCTTCCTACTCATTCCGAAACTAGGAATTACTCCAGCAAAAGGACTCATGACTTCTAAAACTGTTTGATGATTGACTCTTTGGGACCATGAGAGACAAAAGGCTGTGTCAGAGAGCAGTTCCCATTCTTCCTAGCTGATGGGAATAGTCTCAGTTTTTGCCAGTCAATTTCCGGTTGCAAGGATTAGTAAAGTCACTCCCTAAATTCCATGCAGAATTCTCAGACTGGGGTCATATTGCAAATGTGGAGGGTTATATGGTGGGGGTGAGGATAGTAAATTAAAGTAGAATCCCTTTATTTTCTAAACTTTGGCAAATTGAGCAGGAGATATGTATATGTATATATCTATAATTTTAACTTAAGGTGGGGAAAACATCTTGGAGACGTTTGAGCAGATTAACAAATAGTATTTGTATACGTGTAACTAAAACAGTAATTTATCAGGTAGAAGGCAGATGGGGGGAATAAAATGCCAACCTGTATCTACAGTTGGGTTGTTTTGATGATGAAGTGCTGTTTATTCAGGACCAGCCTAGCTTGTCAGCAACATAAGAGCCGTCGCGGCACATGACTCCCTGCGTAGCTAGAAGACAATAATAAATTATCTCCTATGCAAACAGCACCGGAGTAAAAGCAGAACAAACAGACTCTGCCTCTCGGATTCCTGATTATTCTCACTCATTCCCTTCTCTGATTCTGATTTAAACATGAAACGCATTATCCTAAAGCCAATAAGATCGAATCTGGTTTGAACAATCTTATTATGGCAGATAGGACAGTGCTGATGATCTCTGTTTGACGGTCACTGCGAAATGTAAGCATTTTGTTTCTCTTACATACCAGAGTGATTCGCCGAAGCCTTTGTTTTATCCGTACTTCATTTGATCTTGTGGAATTTGGGGTCACCCAGAGGAGAACTGGGAGAGTGTTACCCAGTGGAACTTGATCCTAAGAATCACTTGAGGTACATAATGAAAATATAGGTTCTTGGACCCAATCCCCAACCAGCTAAATGACAACTTCCAGCAAAGCAGCCCAGAAATTCACACCTCAGGGTGGTTTTTATGCTACGGCTATGTGAGGAATGAGGAGCTGAGGGTGTGAGTCAGCAAGTCTTGTGAGAGCGGTGAGAGAACCCAAAGGACTGGTTCGGAGGAAAATACGTCAATTAACAAATGCCTCCCTAAAGCAGTGCTTTTCGGATGTCAATGTGCGTTTCAATCACCTGGGATTTGTGGAAAATGCAGATGCTGCTTCAGTAGGTCTGGGGCGTGGCCGGGCACTCTGCATTTCCAAGAAGACACCTGGCTTTGCCACTGCCTCTTGGACTTGAGTCCCGCAAGATCTTAGAGCCATCATTAAAGACAGAAGAATCCAAACAGATCGGAGCTCAGCAGACATTTTCGCATAGCAAATGTTCCACAAGTATGGCTTTGAATAATGCTGATGCTTCTGAATCCTCATCTTGTGCTCAGATACCAGAAAAACCTGCCTTCTCTTGTTGGAGCGACCTAGCTGGGAGTGCTGTGATAATTTTTACATGTGAAGATCCCTTAGAAATGTGTCTTCTTTCAGGGATTTATAAATATATTTGGGAAGCTTTTTGTAAATAATGAAAAAAATATTTTGGAAGGAAAATTGTAAGGTTTCTTGTGCCAAAGCCATCAGTCTCTGGAGATATGATGTAGGTTGTTGCTGTCCATTCTTATTTTCCTTTGAGACCATATCTTCTTTTATGATTCGTAATGGCAGAAAGCTCAGCATTGAGGTTCTCGATGGATAACACCAATCATGATCTGAAATAATTTTGTCTACTGAATGCACATTGTGTATGATATGAGGTCCGATTTTTAAAAGCCACATTCTAAATATCTACTTCTGTTGTGGGTAAACTAACTTTTAAAAAAAAATTGTATTTAAAAATTATTATGACACAGACAATAAATAAAAAGCATGAAAGCTGACAGTATGCTTTTTGGAACAGCTCTGTATTTGAACATCATAAATTTCATTACCAAGCCAGTACAATAGATCTTTGGTACTCATCAGCAGTCCATCCTGAGACCTTTGTGAAGTCGTATGTGCAATTCCTCGTAACCCAAAAGTGAAAGTGGCCTCGTGAGGTGCCTAATGAGAGTGGCTGCCACAGGAGTAGGTGACAAAGCCTCCTTGAGATGTGGAAGCTGGTGATGGGCTGGGCCCACCTGTCTGCCAAGTGGTCAAGGGCCCTCTCAGGGGCCTCATAGACCTTGAGATTCAACTCAGCAGAATCACAGAGTACACGTGTTATGGATATTTTAAGTGACTGGTAAATAGTGTAAGACACAAATATCAAATCCACAAGTTTCGAAGAACTGCCACATACAAACAATCTGGACATGGAGGAAACCTGCACTTACATGCACTGCACTATTTAGCTCTTCGCAGTGGTTATCTGAGGGGGTACATGGCACTTCCACTTTCCATGGTGTACATCTCTGTGTTGCTTTAATATTTTACCAGTGGCATGCATAATTCTGATGACTTTTGTAATCAGAAAAAAAAATTGGTGGAACTCTTTATAGCTCTCGAGCGCACATCATGGTGATTTTCACTGAATAGTGCACTAGACTGTCAATGGATTGATTATCTATGATGATCATATATATATGCTATGATATATATATATATATGCTATGATAGAGGATTATGTAGCACAGGTTGATTTTGTGTATATGTCTCTCCAGTTCATTCAACTAACATTTCTTGAGCAACTAGTATATGCCAGGCATTATGCTAGGGGCTAACATACAGTCTGCACTGTATTTCTTTAAGAAAGACAGACAGCCGTGCTGACAAAGTGGTTCACCTTGCAGCTAGTATAACTCGAAAAGGCCAGCACATTCCCTTGGCTGATATGAGCCACAGATCTGGGTACTCTGGTAGTGGGTTCCTTTCCCGCAGTTATTCATTCCTCTTTAGGTGCCGGTTAGAGCGAGCACAACTGGAATCATAGCCCTTCCGCAAATCTCCTGGACTTCTTAACTGGAATAGAAAGCACTCAGTAAACTCAGCTAGAGTCATCCTTAGGAATTCTGCTTGCAGTTAATAATCATCAGAAAACAATTATAGAAAAGAACTATTTTTCTAGTGATAGGATGAAATAATAGTCAACAGACGTTCCTACATCCTGTGAACAATAAGAGGAAAAGTATGTTTTGCAAAGTCAACGTTTGAATAAATATTTTAGGGAAAAAAAGTTGAGATATTTGTTCCTTATCTAAACTATTCTGAATAATGATGGCAAAGACTCCTGTTTTTCTTGGTTTAGGAAAACAAACAAGCAAAGTATATTTTAAGCCATAGCATGAAAGTTTCTAAATTTTCTCAAAGTGTCCGTTTCACGTAAATCTAATAATAAATATCTATTGTAATACATCTTGAGACTGGACTAATATGTAGCCCAATTCCTCACAGCTGGGCAGTTTGACATTAATATCAAATTGCCTGTTGTTTCAGGACTGTATGTTTCACAGCAATATCTCCAGTGATTTGAAAACATTTACAGACAAGTTCGGTTTTGATGTCCTCATCCTCTTGGCCAGCTACGTGTCAGAGGAGCAGCAGCCGAGACGGCAGATTGCTGTGTACTCGGAGAACCCAGAGCTGTGCAGTCAGGTAAGCACCTCCTTGACCCCGGCCCGTTTCACCACCTCCTAACCTGCCAGCTCTCAGAACCCGCGGAGGAAGAGGTTGGTGGCTTAAAGAAATTGGCCCACGAGATACGATCATGGAGTTTGAGTTTTAAGAAATGTTGGGGGTATTTTGCACATTGGGTCTTTTATTTATTTATTTATTTATTTATTTATTTTTAGTTTTCAGTGCTTTAATTCAGATTTTTAGTTTTTAGTTTTGATGCTATGTTACCAAAAAAAATCATCTAAATAGAATTAGTAGCAAGTTAAACGTTATCCCTTCTTTTTTTTTTTTTAACTTGAGGTATAATTGACATATAATATGATATTAGTTTCAGGTATATAACGTAAGGATCGATATTTGTATATATTGTGAAATGAGCACCACAATAAGTCTGGTTAACATCCATCACCACACATAAGTATAACATTTTTTTTCTTGTGATGGGGACTTTTAAGTCTTAGAACTTTGAAATACAGTATTATTAACTATAGTCACCGTGCTGTACATTACATCCTATGACTAATTTATTTTATAACTGGAAGTTTCTACCTTTTGACCCCCTTCACCCCACACCCCACATGGGACCTGTTAAAAGAGCCCCATAACTATTTATCTTCTAGGCTGAATCCATAGAGAGAAAGATGATATCTTTTTCACCCAAATGAGGGCAAGTCCTCCTTTGGGTCCTGTTTCCTTTGAGGACTGCTACCTGGTAATAACTAAAGTTTAGTCCCTATCTAAATACCTGTTTGGTCCCCAGTGTTTAGTGACTGGTGATCTGATGCTTTAATCAAACTTCGTTGGTCTCCAGGTACTAAAAGTCTGCCTGCGAAATCGGTCAGATCTCTCAGTTGATAGCTGAGTCTTTAACCCAAGGCTTTGGAAATAATATAAGAAGTAGACAAAATTAATCGAAATAGGGCACTGGCTATACCACTCCAGGAGTATTTAATAACTAGTAAGAGAACACACATGGTTCATTATGAGAGGGACAACATGGACTTGGAACTAACCCTTCCTCACTGATGGATTAGAAACCTCGTCTGTCCGCAGGTGGCTGGCGGTAGTCCCGACTCGTTTCTTGTCCCCATCCTCACTTTCTGTCCCCCAAGAGATCCATCTTGGCTCCCCTGACATGACTGTAGGTATTCCTGGGCTCCTCTGCGCTTTCTCACGTCCAAATACAAGAGAGCCCCCTGCTCCTCCTGCAGGTGCGTTTTGCACCCTGTGTTCTGACCCACCTCCATCTAAGCATTGCATCACCAGCCTGGGGCGTTTTCAATGCTTTGCTCTGCACTGGGTTTCAAAGCTGAGTTTTATCTTTGGTCACGGGTTTTCTAGGGACAGAGCTAAGGTCTTCTGAGCCTCCACTGTGGTGGTTTTCATATCGCTTTTAGTAGCAAATCAATTTAAAAATTGGTGAATCTAAAACAGACAAAACTAGAAGAGCAGATGAAGGGTTGGAAGCTCTTTCCTCCTCTCCTCTCCCACCAGCCCTCCCCTCCCATCACCCGAGAGAGACAGCTCCTCAGAATCTTGAGCATCACAAGGTCAAGACTGCTCCAGAGGAATTCTTCTTTGTGCCTGTGGTCACACTTGGTTAAGGGTCAGCCTCTGCAGCTGAGCTGCCTGAGTTCAAAATGTGGCTCCATCACTTGTTCACCACGTGTTAGTTGGTCAAATTGTTTAACCTTCTTGCGTCTGCATTTCCTCATTGGCAAAATGGGGATCAAGCGTCCCAACCTTGTAGAATTATTGTGAAGATTAGAGGAGATAATGCACGTAAAACCCTTTAGGGCTGTGCCTGGCATAAGAAAGCACTCAATAAATGTCAATTATCATTGTTAGTGTTATCCATGTGAGCTCTGTAGCTACTGTTATTGTTGTTGTTTTTGATGTTGTTGTCACCTCCACTAATCCTGTGGGGCCATTTCAAAGGCCCAATGTGCAAAATATCCCCAGCATTTCCTGAAAATCATAAAACTGTAGCTGGTCCTGGCCTGGCTCTGGCTGTCATACATCCCCCTGCCTCCCAGGTCAGCTTTGTCTGTTCTGGGCTCCATGTCAGTGCTTCCTGGGCAGGAAGAGACAGTTGGCGTCTGAATGCTGTTTGGAAAGCTCTGGCCCTGGCAGCTGTTTTCTCTTTCCTACTTTCTCCTGTGCCTTATGAGACCAGCAGAGGTTAAAGCAGGTCCCGCTGCCTGCTACTAGACAAAAGCCTTTCTTCTGCCCCATTTCCCCTCATTCCAACACTTTCCGCCTAGCTCTTGTCAGCATCCACCATTATCTGTGCACTTTGCAAACTTGAGTTTCATTCCTGTTGGAAGATGATATTATATTACACTGAAGAAAGGATTTAAATGGCTTTAAATCTCTTTCCCTGTAACTTTCAGAAGCCAACAAAATTGAATAGCTGGATTTTGAGTTCAATGGAAAGCCAATTTAATAGGGTTGGAGAAAGAGTTGGGGTGTATAAATGAGACTTTCCTTGTTTTACATTGTACAGTTTTCAGTTGTTTGTGTTCTTCTTTTTAGACAGATGTACACAAATTAATTTTATATTAAGGAAAATTAAGAAAGACAAATTGCAAAGAGCACAGAGTGTCTGAGTGCTCACACAAATTCCTGTGCCTCCCTGACAGATTTGCTGTGAACTGGAAGAGTGCCAGAACCCTTGCCTAGAGCTGGAGCCGTTTGAATGTGGCTGTGACGAGATCCTGGTGTACCAGCTGGAGAACCCTTCGGTAACATGTGATCAGGTAGTTCTCCTTGTCAAGGAAGTCATCAATAGGAGACATCCAGAGATGGTCTCCAATAGCCGGACGTCCTCAACAGAAGCCGTGGCAGGCAGCGCCCCGCTCTCCCAGGGATCTTCCGGGATTATGGAGTTGTATGGTTCTGACGTAGAGCCACAGCCCAGTTCCGTGAATTTCATAGAAAACCCTCCGGATCTCAACGATTCTAACCAGGCCCAGGTGGATGTCAACGTAGACCTTGTTAGCCCAGATAGCGGGTTAGCCACCATTAGGAGCAGCCGTTCATCCAAGGAGAGCTCGGTTTTCCTCAGTGATGACAGTCCAGTGGGAGAAGGTGCTGGGCCTCACCACAGCCTCCTCCCAGGGTTTGACTCCTATAGTCCCATCCCTGAAGGGGCGGTAGTGGAGGAGCATGCACGGTCTGGAGAACAAGGTGAACACTTTGACCTCTTCAACTTTGATGCAGCACCCATGGTTTCTGGGCAGTCCCAACCATCTTCCCATTCTGCGGACTATTCCCCAGCAGATGACTTCTTTCCCAACAGTGATTCATCAGAAGGACAGCTCCCCACAGGGCCTAAAGGTCTCGATGGGTTAGGGGTGGACATATCTAATTATTCATCCAGCTCACTTTTGTCGGTGGCTGGCAAAGATAGCCTCGTGGAATTTGATGAGGAGTTTGTCCAGAGACAAGAAAGTCCTGAGGATAACTCTGAAAGAAACTTGAGCCTGACAGGTTTTGTGGGAGATGACTCTCCTTCACCAGAAAGGCTGAAAAATATTGGAAAGAGGGCCCCAGCAACACCTATGAATAGCTTTGTAGAAAGCTCACCATCCACAGAAGAACCAACTCTACTCTATCCAGAAGATATGAGCCAAAAAGCAGTTGACGTAGGTCACACAGAGCCACCTCAGACCCGTCCACGGTGCAGCAGCTGGTGGGGTGGTTTGGAAATTGACTCTAAAAACGTTGCAGATGCATGGAGTTCCAGTGAGCAGGAATCTGTCTTCCAGAGCCCCGAATCATGGAAAGATCATAAGCCGAGCCCAGTTGATAGGAGAGCCTCAGATTCTATATTTCAACCAAAGAGTCTCGAATTTCCAAAGTCAGGTCCCTGGGAGTCAGAATTTGTTCAGCCTGGGCTGGGCAGCAATAATATTCAAGACCAAAGTGAGGAAAGCTTGAAGTTTCAAAACCTGCCCACTGAGCAATCCCATTTGCCAAACACGTCTCCTCAGGGAACAAACCACCTGATAGAAGACTTCACTGCTTTGTGGCGTTCTGATCGCTCTCCCACAGCGATGCCCGAGCCTTGGGGAAATCCCACGGATGATGGCAAACCAGCTGCTGCAGCAGCATTCCCAACCTGGAGTGCATTTGGTGAAGAAGACGATGCCAAAGCTTTGAAAAATACCTGGAATCTGCACCCAGCGACTGGTGAGACACCTTCTGTGAGGGACCCAAATGAGTGGGCCATGGCAAAGAGTGGGTTTTCTTTTCCTTCAGAAGACCTAGTGGACAATTCATCCAATGAGGCAAATAATATAGCAACTTCAGAGATCTGGGGCAACAAGAACCCTGACTCCAGAGATAATATTCTTATATCTGGAAATCCTGGATCTGATCTGGATAATGCATGGAATAGTTCTAAGCCATCAATGGAAGATCAGAATGGTTTAGTGAATCCAAAAATTAGGGGAAATGTACATGAAAAGGTAGATTCCTGGAACCTTTTTGAGGACAGTGTCAAGAAAGGAGGGTCAGACATCGTAGCTCCTTGGGAAGATTCCTTCTTATCATATAAATGTTCCGATTACAGTACATCCAACATTGGGGAAGATTCGGTGCCTTCCCCCTTAGATACCAATTACTCCACCTCTGACTCTTACACATCACCAACATTTGCTGGAGACGAAAAAGAAGCCGAAAACAAGCCATATGCTAAAGAGGGAGGTTTTGAGTCAAAAGATGCTAAGGCTACTGCAGGGGAGACTGAAATGCCTCTGCAATCACCACAGCAGCCACCTAGAGATCGAGTTAGTTCAGGTCCTGGGAACCTGGAAATGTGGGCTTCATCTCATGCAGATAATAGTTCTGAAATAAATGCCACTCACAGCCCAGATAAAGATTTACTCAACACAGAGCCCACAGATGAGAAGAACATCTCCATGGAGGATGACATTGGGGAAAGCAGCCAGTCCAGTTACGACGACCCCAGCATGATGCGATTGTACAATGAAACAAACCGACAGCTCACACTTTTGCACAGTAGCACCAACTCCCGGCAGGCGGCCCCTGACAATGTCGACCTGTGGAACAGAGTGATTCTGGAGGACACTCAGTCCACTGCAACCATCTCTGATATGGATAATGATTTTGACTGGGATGACTGCAGTGCAGGTGTGGCAATCCCTGGTGAAGGTCAAGCACAAGGATATGTGGCTGAAATTATTGAACCCGAAACCCGATTTTCAGTGAGACAGCTAGAACCATGGGGTGTAGAATATCAGGAAGTAAATCAGATAGATTGGGAAGTCCCTGCCTCTTCTGAGCCCAGCAAGGACACCGCTCCTAACGAATATGACATACTCAACGAGAAAAGTGGACAGCTAATTGCGAAGAGTATTTGGGATTCCGTCATGAGAGATAACAACATGTCATCGTTAATATTACCAGGCCCATCGTATATTACAGATTCAGAACAAAGCAAATCACCTCCTGAAACTCCCAGCTCACCAGAAAAAGTTAAGGACAGTCACATCCCAGATGTGCTAGAAGGATCTGGAGCCAGTGAGTCAGGAGCTCTTACGCCAGATCCTGACAGGCAGGACACATGCAGAGGAACCCTGCCCAGTGATACAGCAGCCTTGGCAACCAGGCATGAGAATCCAGGGCATTTGGCACACTCAGACCCATGGAGAGGTCCAAGCTGTGAACAAAGTGAGAGTGAGAAGGAAGCCCACAGAGCGGCCGATAAGGAGCACCCTGGCGAGGAGGAGGAGACGGATAGAGCCTCGGGGATTTCTGGAAAAGGGCAAGGAGACCAGGAAGGCTCTTCCCCAGTTGCATCTGAACATGAAGAAATCTTTGAGGAATCAGGCAAAATGAGTTCTCTTTCAGTCACTTCCAGTCCTCAGACCGAGGAACCCCAAGAAGTTTTAGAGCATGAGAAGGGGTCTTACAGTCCAGACCCCTGTGATGTGCAACCAGAGATGTCCACAAGTCACCTCCAGGCAAGAGAGACCTGCGAAGAGCGCCTCACGGATCACAGAAATTCAGGTGAAACTACTGAAATTTCAGGCAGGCTGAATTTAACAAAAAGTGTATCTTTACCTGAAATGGATCCTGAGAAAACTAAAGAAGGCAACATTCTGGAGCCAGAGAGAGTGAACCGAGAGCAACCTCATGAATGTCCCCAAAGCCTTGACGTTTGGAATGGCCCTATAGACAATGATGTGCAGGTCAACTGCACAAATTCTGAGATAACTAAGAATCTTGAAGTTAAGAGTACTGAACACAGCCCTTCAGGAGGCGCTTCATCAGGAAATTATGACGGAGATAGTATTTCTAGTGAGTATACACATTCCACTGCATCGAGTCCTGACCTAAATGATTCTTCAGCTCCATTGCCTTCCTGGGACCATGGACCCAGTACTGGACATCAGAAGGAAAATCAAGATGGTTGGAGTAAACAGAATCACCAAGAATCTGAACTGATTACTACTGATGACCAAGTAGAAGTAATTACTGAAATGAAGGACCTGGAGGAAAACAGAATGGGCAGCTTTGAAAAGAGCTTAGATCACAAGGTTCCTAAATTTTTAGAGATTTGGAATGACTCAGTAGATGGTGATTCCTTTTCCTCTTTATCCAGCCCTGAAACAGGCAAATATTCTGAATATTCAGGTGCCTATCAGGAAAAAAATCTAGTGATTAGCCATCAGGAGAAAAATGAACATGACATTGCTGAAACTGCGCAGCTGGAGGATGCCAAGTTCCTTTCGACGAGCTCAGGCTCTGAGGATGATACTGCAGGTGATGAAGAGTCCATGGGGAAAGAGACCCATTTGGCCACTTGCCAAGTTGCTGAGCGTGAACCGGGAGCTTGGGATTCATTGAACAAATCTAATAAGTTCTTGGCCACAGCAGATCCCAAGTCTGAGGAATTTTCTGCCTATGTCGGCAGTTCAGAACCAGCAGAGAATGAAAATGAGTCAGACCCACTCCGTGACAATCAACAAAGCAGTCCTGATCGCTGGAATTTCTCGCCACTAAAGGGCACTGAAATACAGATTACAGCTGTAGATAAGGAGACAAAATCTTCTCCAGAAACAGGGAAGACAGAAGATATTGTATGGCAAATATCTCCCAAAACTGAAGCAAAGAATGAAAATTTTTCTAAATTGGAAATTGTTGGCTTCCCAGCTGACAGCACCGAGTGGTGGAATGCCTCTTTACAGGAAGGGCGACCTATTGAAAGTGCATTTGAAGGGGAATTCTCTAACTCAGGTGGTGTGGTAGAGACGAATTCTTCAGTATACCAAAACGTGGGTCCCTGGGGAGTACCCATTCAGAGTGATACTGAATCTGTGGAAACGCATTGTACTAATACTTTCAGTGATAGACATCAGTCTCCCTTCCTGGATAGTAATAGGGAGAATTCTCACGAGCAACTTTGGAACATTCAACCGAGGCAGCCTGACCCAGAAGCCAATCAGCTTAGCCAGCTTGTAATACTGGACCAAATTAAAGAAAAGGATTCCAGAGAGGAAACCTTCATGTCTTCTGCTGGTGTCAAACTCACTTCTGAAACACCTACCCAAGAGCAGTGTCAGAATATAGTGCTATCCGTCTGGGATCAGCCAGACCCAACATTTGCTCACACAGATGAAAATGGAAGTGTTATGTCTAATGCTTCAACTATTGAATGTCAAGATACAAGTTGGTGGGAAAAGGAAAAATCACACCCCAGTGAAATGACAGATTCAAGCATTGCCTCAGACGATTTCCCTGCCGTCAGTTCCTCCCCTCAGTTGATAAAGAAGTCAAGCTCTGAATGGGATGGCTCTACCCCGACTGAGGGCCCTCAAGGCGACTTTGTTCCAGATATTTTACATGGCAACTTCCAAGAGGGTGGGCAACTGGCCTCAGCTTCGCCTGACTTGTGGATGGATACTAAGCAGCCCTTCAGTTTGAAAGCAGATGGTGAGAATCCTGATATACTGACTCACTGTGACCACGACAGCAACTCTCAAGCTTCCAACAGCCCCGATATATGTCTAGATTATGAAGCAAAGCAAGAGACTGAGCAGCACATTAGTGCTGGGATAGGACCTGAAGGGGAAGCCAGTGAGGTGTATCTCACCGAGACAAAGATGCATGAAGAGCCCCGTCAGGAGCCTGGGCAGGAATTTGTCCCCTACAATTCTGAAAGTACAATTCCACTGCCTCCGATCAGTGATCAAGCAAACACAAGTGACTCAGCTCAGCCTACCTCTCACAAAGGTTCTCCCGAACCTTCTGAAATAAATAGTGAAAACAACACAAGTTTAAAAGCATCAGAAAAAGGAGCCAACCCAGACATAGCACCAACTTTGCAACCTGTTGACAGAACAATCCCAATGATTGAAAACGTGGGAACCAGTATATTTGTAACTCAGCAAGACCCAACTATGGATGACAACAGCTCTTGTGTATCAGAGGACTTTTCTGCCGGAAGTCAGACAGACGCAGGAGCCTTCTTAGACCATGAGCAACCTTTTGCTACTGAGAATCCTGCCACAGTTCCTGATGCTTTGCTAGCCTCAGACACTTGTCTGGATGTAAGTGAAGCTGCCTTTGACCACAGCTGCAGCGATGCTTCAGGTCTCAACACATCCACGGGAACAATAGATGACATGAGTAAATTGACATTATCAGAAGGCAATCCCGAAACGCCAGTTGATGGGGATGCAGGGAAGCAAGATATCTGTTCATCTGAAGCCTCATGGGGTGATTTTGAATATGATGTCATGGGCCAAAATATTGATGAAGATATAATGAAAGAGCCTGAACACTTTCTCTATGGTGGTGACCCACCCTTGGAAGAGGATGCTCTGAAGCAATCGCTGGCACCTTACACACCTCCCTTTGATTTGACCTATCTCACAGAACCTACTCTTGATGTTGAAACAACAGCGGAAGCTGGGGCTCCAGGGGATGAGTCTCTGGGGAGCGAAGCAGTGGAGGTATTACTTTCTGCCCTTCCTGATGGAAGAAGCGAAGAAAACCACACTGAGACCAAAAACAGACAGCCCGGACGCCAGATGGTTGTACTGCACATTCATGAAGACCCTGAGTCTGTTTCTTTGCCTGTAGAAGTCAACTCCAACATTGAGTTGTCTCCAACAAACATTGACTGGGAAGTAGAAACAGATCATTCGGATTCACCAGCAGGTGGAGACATAGGAACACCAATTGGTAAGAAACCTCCCCTTCCTCCACCCCCAAGAAATTGCTGCTTTTATTCAATTAACGTATTTGTAAAACAAACTCTTCCTACCAATGTGGGTAAAGAGGAGCTAACTAAATTTGCAGTGCATGCCTAACCAAGTCCTGTATTCCGGCAGTAACATCTGCTGCTTGTGAAATACCTATCCTTGAGAGTGCATGAGAAAATTAAGCAGCACTACAAAATAAAAATATTTCTTAAATTATCTCTCTTTAGGTGGATCATTTGCAAAGATCACAAATCACATAACGTGTTAATTAAGGCTTGTTCCCCTCTTCTCACCTTCATCTTCCACTTCTAGGTGCCAGAGAGGGAATATTAGAGTTGGAAGAAGAAAAAATAATTCCTACCAAGGAGCCTGAACAGATAAAACCAGAAGACAGGGAAGAAACTTACACCGAGAAGAATGAAGATCATCATGCACTACACATGGATTACATACTTGTAAACCATGAAGAAAATTCACTCCCAAAGCCAGAAGCCTGTGAAGCAAGAGAAAGCACATCTGAATTAGAAGAATTTCACATGGGTTCTGAAGAAACAGAAGCAGGGCTGCCAGGAACTGAGTTAGTAAGCTTCTCAGACACATGTCAGCCTGCCTCCTTAAATGAAAGAAAAGATCACTTTGCAGAGAGAATGTCTTCCAAAGATGATAAGAGATCATCTCTTGAAAGCCATGGGCAAGACCAGAGTTGGATGGTCTTGGGCCACAGTGAAGGTGGGGCTCCATCATTGGAAGCCAAGGACTCAGGGCCTGGATCATCTGGAAAGGCTCTGGAGCCAGCCTCTGATCACGACTTGGGCAAAGTTCCCCAAATGCAAGTTCTGGGAGAAATGAAGCCTCTAGAATCTTTAGCACGGGAGGAAGCCTCTGGTCTGGGCAGCCAATCACAGAGGAGCAAGAGCCAAGGCAGGGCTGGCCCAGATACAGCTATGTTGCAGGCTGTCACCCATGACAATGAATGGGAAATGCTTTCGCCACAGCCTTCTCAGAAAAACGTGATCCCTGAAATGGAAATGGAGGAGGAGACGGAGTTTCTTGAGTCCAGAATGAGGAAACCAAGAGCAAACGGGTAAGCAAAAAGCTAGATTTATTTTTTTCCTAAAAACCATTTTATTTAGAAACTGGAAAAATGATGAGGGATTGTGGAACCCAAGGAATACCTAGATGATAGGACCTTTGCTTGTATTTCTTGCGTAGCATCAGTAAAAGCAGCTGCTAGGTAACCATAATGATGATGAGGATGATTTGTGTATATTTTGAGCCAAAAAAGCCCCTTTGATTTCCAGCCAGTCTTGTACTTACCCTCCCAACTCCTCTGCCTACTCAATGCCTGTATTACTCTTTAACAGGCCATTGGAACCAGAGAAGGGAGAGCATGAAGATTTATTGGTGGTGCAAGGCAGTTTGTACCCGTTATCTCATTTAATCCTTACAACAATCCTGAAGCGGCAGGCATTATTATCTTTATTTTACACCTACTGAGAGGAGGGCACTTGAGGCTCAGAGAGGTTCTATAACTTGCCTTGAATTAAGTAACCAGAGTGGACACTCTGGGATTCAAAGTTTCCCACCTCCACAGCCTCTGCTTTTCTAGCAGACACACTGCCCATCACACAGAAAAGGCGGCTGTGGTTTTATGTAAGCACCTAACTTACGAGTAAGAATAAGGAGACTCCACAGCAGACTCCAAATCTTAGTGTGAAACATTCATTCCCTAATTGGCTGAAAAACTGGCCATGAAACCAGTGGTTCGATCATTCATTCATTCATTCACTCACCATATGGTGTCTGAGAATCTGCTCTGTGCTGAGTTTCTGGGTGGCCAGTGGGCATATAGCAAGGAATGGGATGTCATCCCTGCCCTCAAGCTTTCTGGGCCTACGGAAACTCCTTAGGGTTGTTCATTTCTCTTCAATTTCCCCTGATAAAGCCCTGCTGCTTCTGGGGGCAAGAAGGCAAATTGTAAAAAGCAACTCAAGTAAAGGGGAAAATCATGTTTCGTCTTTAAAATGTAGTGGAGAAAAGATCTCTCTTTCCTGTTCGCTTTGGGAGTATAAAGGACTATACACACCACATACCCACTGTGAGTCAGGAATCTGAATTCCAGCCCGGCTCTGCCATTACTGGTTATGTGTTTTAGGATTAACCCTGTACTTAAGTTTCCTCATCCATAAAATTAGTGGGTTGAGCCGGAGGATCTCAAGACTTCCTTCAATATTAAATCCTGGGGACTTAATCTGTGTGTAAATAGAATGTGTCCAGGAGAGCTGTGGCATCTTCAAATTACATTTCTCGATGAAAAGAACAGAGAAAACAGAAAGCACAGCAGGGGTATATGGAGGGTTAGTAAAGTGCCATAAAGAGTTAAAAGCTGTACCATATTCAAGGGCAGCTTCATAAATTCAGACATTTTCAGTTGGCCTAATCTTTCTTTCTTCCTGTCAAGCTATTTCCTTCCAGAGAGACCCCAGATCCGTTATCAGAAAGAGAGTGACGGGTGGGTCCCCGCAGTCCTGCTGGCATTGTTATGGATTGAGCTGAGAACTCAGGCGGCCTTGAGTGGCTGAGCTGTTGTTTGGCTTCTTGTCTGCATTTTGCACATGCCCCTGAAACCCAACAGATGATAGTGTTCAACTGTGCCACTCACCTCTTTGCTTTCAATGAGATTTCTCCACTCATCCCTTTCTGCTCAGCCCCTGAAGTAATGGAAATTTTCCTCACAACACGGGGAGAGGGGTAGATTTTCCCGCTGGCATTTGTATTACGTTTTGCATAAATAATTGACCCTAAATGAATTTGCAAGTTTCCCTCCATGCTAGATTTTGGGAGGATGCACGGTTGTGATTCTCTAAGTGGGCTTCTAAGACCAGCAGCCTCAGCATCACCTGGGCACTGATTAGCCATGCAAATTACCAGCCCCACCCCAGACCTCCTGAATCAAGAACTCGGGATGGGGACCAGCCTTCTGTGCTTGAACACTTCCTCCAGGTGATTCTGATGCACGCTTAAGTTTGAGAACCACTGGTGTAACGCTTACTCCCAGCCCACTAGGAGTTTACAGTTTAATAGGGGAGTGAGACGTAAGTGAAAAGGTAGATAGTAGTGTAATATTTAAATTAAGATCGTTAATGAGAGATGTTTATTTAAAAATAAATAGTTACTAATTAGGAGCATTTGCCTTGGACCAGGCAGAAGCACTGTACATGCACTATCTCACGTTACCATGGCAACTGTATGAGGTAAGAATTACACAGGAGAGGAAACTGTTCAGATAGCTTGAACCACTTGTTCTGGCTTATAGTTAGAAAGTGAAGAAGCTAGGATTTGAATTCGAGTCTCGCTGCATCCAGAGTGTGTGTTAATGTTACTAAGTTAGGAAGAGAGGCATCGGAGGAGGGCACTTTTATCGGGGAGAACCAGGCATGGCTTATGATCCCCCAGGCTCCGGAGGCAGAGTGCTCAGGGCACATGGTATTCTAAGGGGCCCATGAGAGGGTTTAAATTTCTTTTAAAATCAAAAGAAAAAATAATTATACTTTTGTGTGGATTAGATTTGTCTTTCTACCAATGCAGTTGTAAAATAAATTATCATATTTTTTTTTAATGAAAGAAGGGACCCATGAAGGCAAAAGTTTCTAAGGCCCATGAAAGTCATACTTCGGCCCAGAGAGGTACAGTTAGAGATGGGTGTTTATGGAAGGTCATACTCTGGAAAGGCAGAGAAGAGGGTGAGAGGCAGTCAAATCAACTGGGAAGAACAAGACAAAGGAAATCGTGGAGACAGGAAGGTAATCACAGAAGCAGTGTGATAAGATAGCCGTATTTTCCCAACCGAAAACCTGGAAACATCTTCTGACACAAAATCTCATCATAGGACAGAATACCCCAAATCAAGACTATTCTGAAAAACAAATTAAAATGTGGTCTTCATAAATAGAAGAAGGCTGATAGTATATGCAATATGCCACTCCAGCTACAAATCGGCTTCTTGTCCTCCCCTCGTTACCAAAACATTGGGTTCTTATTGTCCCCCAGGATGGAAATCAAAAGAGACAACAAACGGGAGTAGGAAGGTAAAAGTTTACTAGCTTGTGCACAGGAGAGGCACAAGGGAGCCGGTGCTTCGAAAGGAAAGGGGCAGGTGACCGGCTCGTTAGGGAGCGGGACTGTGGGACTTTTATTAGGGAAAGGCTAGGGAGGAGGGCCGTGTCATGGCATGGAGCGGTGGGGCTGTGCTTGAGCCTGTGCTGTTGTTTGACATGCCACCACCTGTGTTGCATGCATCATTAGCATGCTGGCTCTCCACCCTTGGGTGTAATGTTTACTTTGCTAAATAGGGCTAGGGTCACCTTCAGTGGACTTCTGAGTGCTTGGGCACATGCATAAGCCCAGGAAAGTCCAGAGGCTGCAGAATATGGATCTTGGTAGGCTCTATCTGATTCTCCTAGCCTGCCGATTGGTTAGGGGCCTCATCTTCTTAGGCCAGGGGCCCCACAGAAGACCCTGTCTCGTTAGGCTGGTTCCTGTCTCACCTTCAGCTGCCGCACGCCCGTCAGCTCCCACACTGTTCTGAGAACAGTAAGGCACATATTCAAAACCTGGAGAAAACAGAAGAAAGATGCCTTCTCTCCTTGTATTCTACCTAGTGATTCTTGTTAACAAAACTTGTTATGAGTGCTGGGAGATGAACGCTGTCCCTCGAGGTCTTCAGCACTCTGTTCTAGTTCCTTAGGATCAATCTTTCCAGAGACTTTTGCCAACACTTTGATCATCCTCCAGCTATAGACCCTGCCAGCTCGGGATCACACACCGATACCCCAGCCAGTGATAGAAATGCCTGATCCTCCTGTCGGTCAGAGAACATCTGCAGCGTAATCTGCAGCACACAACTGTTTGTGAAATGAAGAACCATTTAGATGTTTGTTTTAAAGAATGTGTGGGTACAAGGAGGTTGTGTGAAGAAAGGGTAATTTGATTATGTACTAGTCAGGGTTCTCCAGATTAACCAAACCAATAGGAGCAATAGGATGGAGAGAGAGAGAGAGAAACATTGTTTTAAGGAATTAGAACTGGCTTGATGTGGGCTCAGTGAGCCAAGGAGTCAAAAGAAAGATTTCCTGGACTCTCAAGGTCTGGCAGTAGTGCTCCTTTATTCAGAGAATAGCATGGAGTAGCACGGGGACAGGACCTATGGGCAGTAAGAGCTGCTGGCATGGGGACAGGACCCACGGGCGGTGAAGAGCTGCAATGGGTTGAGAAGGGGCTAAATTTATAAGGCATAGGTATGTGAGTTATTTCTTTACGAGGCAAAGGAAAGATCATGAAAAAATCGTTAAAATGGTAGCAGTGCATGTGGGGTCTGGTTATCGGGTGGTCCTGTAACTTTGGATAAGAATCAGGTCGGATGAGTTCAGGACGGCCTGTGCTTCCGGGAGGATGATAGAGATCGGTATGTAGGTGAGGACACTGTGGGCTTCTCTCCCTGGGGCGGACTTGATCCTCATCAGGCTTACACAATTTTAGGGGCTGGCAAATCTGGAATCTGTAGGCCAACCCAGCAGGCTGGAAACTCAGGCAAAAGTTGCTGCAGTCTTGAGTCCGAATTCCACAGGACCGCAGGCTGGACACTCAGGCAGAGTCTCTGTGTTGCTGTCTTGAGAAGTCCTTCGGGAAACTTCAGACTTTGCTCTTAAGGCCATCAACTGATTGGATGAAGCCCACCCACACTCTGGAGGGTAATCTACCTTACTCAAAGTCTGCTGATTTCAGTGTTAATCACGTTTAAAAAATACCTCCACAGCAACGTCTGGACTGGTGTTTGACCAAATAACTGGGCACCAGAGCCTAGCCAACTCAACAGGCAACATTAACCATCATAGGTTAGATTCAAAAGCCTGAACTAAATGCTAAGCAAGCATCAAACGCTTACCCTTTGTAAAGTCACCATGTGAATTACATAAAAATGGGGCCATTGGTGTACAGATGTATTGGCTTTCTATAGTTGTGGGACAAGGAAATAGCCGTGCAGGGTGGTAAAAGGAAATAATTTCCAAGAGGACTAAGAAAATG